GATGCTCTAACCAACAGACCTACCCAGCCAGGGCTGCATCTGTAGTAATTTAACTTTGTCTTAATGGAGTACTACTTTTAAGAGTAGTCATATGGGTGTTTTAATGGAGAAACTGGGAATTTTTTTTCCTATCCAAAGCCACTGACTGTATTTTGCCACATAAAACACGCACCCATGTTTTTGTGCACAGTATACATGGAATTGTTAGATCTATTATTATACCCATGGTATGCGGTCATTATACCCATGTATAATGCACATCCTTATTTTTTCCCTCAAAAGTTTGGGCAAGAAAGTGTGCATTATACACTGCAAAATACAGGGGAAATTAATCCATGTTACAGTCAAGTAAAATACAAGCTAATTCAGATTTTCTAGGAAGAAATGTAAAATGATTAAGGGACCTGCTTGTAATGTGAAGAATCAGGAACATTATGTTAGGAAATCATATGATTTGTGAAGAGGTATGAACGCAAATCATGGGAGTGGGAGGAGATGCTTTTAAAAAATCAAATGCAGGTAATTCAGGGAAAGGTCCATTTGGTTTCTAGTGAAAAACTGAACCTAATGCTTAGTGGACATGAAAACAATGAGTGGGCTAAGGCCAGGGGTCTACAGTCCTATCTCCTGGTGCTAGGCCTAAAGCAGAGCCTTGTATGGGACCTAGGAGGGCATGGGAACCTGGGTGGAGATGTCTTTTACCTTATTTATATGTAGAGGGGTTCCCTGCTGTGGTAATTAATGTGTTCATTTATCATTAAGGGTACCTACCACTTTACATAAAAAGTGCTAATATGAGAAAATCCTGAAAATGCTTGACACGGACTCTGGAAGATGTGCTATGGGAGACCAGAGCTAAATGAACCATGCATACATCAAAATGGAGAGGACAAGCTTTAATGGTGTCATCTGCCATTCATTTATGTCATGGCCATCCATGTTATGTTAGAAAGTGTGGCATTGTAAGCTGTGATCACCTGTTTTGCCAGATGGATCCCTGTATTGTGCTGCTAAAACTTGGGGGCCTTTCTCAAAATCATATTGAAAAGGAGTTAACCAATATGTTAGCTTTAAGGTTATTTTGGCCATATATATTTTTTTAAGATTTTGGTGTCTACAAACACTTATCTGCTAATGATTACTAGCAAATGCCCAAAGAATATAAATTCCAATAAATATGTTTACATATAATAAAATAAATATATAAACACACAAATGCAATCATGTTTAACAGGATTTTGGGTTTTTTGTGGCTCGTAATTTTGATCTTTTGGTATTATATACATGAAATGTAAGTTATTTCCCTCAGTAAAATTATTCTTCGTTTGCTTGATGGACCTAAATATTCTGATATATAATGGTTTTCAGTAGAGAGAACTTGGCTTAAAGGTACTGTGCCACCTGGAGAGACGATGCTCTAGGGCAGAGCCAAGACCTGATGTTTGGGGAGGCAAGCGTAGGCTCACTCTAAGAATATTCTAACAACAAATGTTTAAAAACGCAACAGACTGTCATACAAAGTTAATATCCTTCTCCAAGTTGCTGAAGTGAAGGCCATGTAGGCCCCTGCTGGAAGCATTCTGGAAAGGATTCCAACATTTCCATCACTGCAAAAGAAATTATATGCACAGTTTCTAAGAAGTACTCCTCTAACTTTTACTGTGTTGTGGCTCTATGATTTGTGGCTCTATGATTTGTGGGTTTATAGCCACTTGTGGTAGATGGTGGACAGCTATTTCATTCAATGACTACATGTTGTCTTTCCAGAGTCAGGCAGATGCTACAGATTCTGTCACTAAAAATTTAAGTTACTCCTACAAGCCAGGCTCGTGGGCAGGAATGAGCTATAAACAAGCGTCCTATCTAGGGTGATGCTCCTCTGCCTTTGGCTACATTAGAGTCACTTAAAAGCCTGGCTAAAAGGCTGATTGCTGGGCTCCACCCTCCACTTTCAGATTCTCCAAGCCTGGGTGGGGCCTAAGAGAGTTTCTAACAGATCAGATCCAAGGACAGGTCAATAGACCACACGTTGTGAGTAGCATTGGTTTAGGGCAATGGTCTCCTGTTTTCCCACATTACCCCATGACATTTGGTAAAGTCTGTGATGTTTTTGTTTATCACAATTGAGGATTGGGAATATTACTGGTATCTAACGGGGAAAAGCTAAGGGTCCTACTAAACATCCTGCAATGCACAGGGCAGTCCACACACAAGGAATTAACAGCTCAAACAGTAATGCTGAGGTTAAGAGGCCCGGTATGGGGAAAATTAAGAAAATCAAGTAGTATTTGTAATAAACTCTGAAGAATATAGTGGTAGATTGTGAGAAAGGTAGTGTAGGGTACTACAGTTGAGCCTACTTTAATCTAGGGTGTCAACTAGGGGCATTAAGGTAAGTGAAACAGATGCTGTTCTCAGGGGCACCAGACATGCAAACAATAGGTCCATTGACTTTTCTAACTGTGGAATAAAACTAGTGAATTGATAAAGGAGGCTGCCCAGGAGGGTGGGGATGGGATTTCACAGCTTAAGTGACATTTGACAGCTGTATAAAATGGATTGGATTTTGCCAGGGGCATTGTTGCCAAAGAGAACAGAAAATCCAAAGCAAAGTGAGAGCATGTTGGCTAGTGTGCCTGGAATACAGTCCCAGAAAACCCAGAGAGATTTCATGTGACCAGGTCAGTAAAGCCTTACATGACATTATTCTCAGAAGGGTCACTTATCCTGTAGTCAACAGGAGAGATCAGAAATGCTTAAAACAAGAATGCTCATTGTGTTTTATGAAATAATAGAATCTAAATTAATGAGGTTTTGCTGTTGATCACTAGGCCTTGTGGAAAGCCTTAAAGTGCTTCAACTGTAATAGTAAAATAAAAAATTTTTTATATTATATCTATTCTGTTTCTTTGTACATTGAACCTGGAAATTTGATATACAGGGATTACCAAAAAAAGCTAAAAATTTCAGAAAATATTAGCCCATGTATCCTTTTTGCCTGGTTCCTGAATGTCTCCTGCTACCAGAGCCTGTTTGTGGGCGAGGACATTTTCCCAGTAAGCCAGTTGGGCCCTCAAGCAGCCTGGCAGTACCAGAGCAGGAGTCGGTCATATCAGGGTTAGTCCAGCTCACATTTTGCTCAGCTGGGTGTAGACCCTTCTTGTCTTGAGAGGAGTCACCACCTACACTAGAATGTGTGAGGTTAGGAGGGCCTCCCACCCCAGGATCTATGGCTGTTCCTTGATAGGAAGCCTGGATGTCAAATAGGGCTTCCATCCCGGGACTTTGCTGATTAGTTCTTCAATAGTCACAGGAGTTTAACACTTAAGCATTAGTTTCAGTATCTCTCTGTGTCTCTCTTTCAATCTTCCTCTTCCTCCCTCTCCCTCCCTCTTCCTCCCTCATTCTCACCTTCCCTATCTTCCCAAACATTTAATTTTTGGTTTTCTGATCAAGCAGTTCAATGAGAACCAAAGTATAACTTTTCCCTGCATAACGAGCTTGGCACCTCCCTGGAACCTGGGGCAGTTTCACTGACTCATGTGTAACATTTATTGAATGCTTTCTGTGGTCCCAGAACTATATCAAGTGTGTTTTTTTTTTTAATGTATGGTTTTTAATGCATGCATATAGTTAAGAAAATGTTAGAGGTATGAAAGGTTATAAAACAAAAAGTAAGCCTTCCCTACACAAATTTTTCTTCTTATAATTGTTCATAAACTAATATAGTTGATTTCCTATGTGCTTTTCAGAGATATGTTTTGCATTTACAAGCATATTTATATAATTTTTAACACTGATGTCCAGATACTTCTATATAATTTTTCACTCTCAAATGGAGAATATATAGTTAATGTTGCCCCCATTTAATAGTTGATATCACTGAGACAGCATAAGTAATTTGCTCAGGGCCACTTAGTAGATGGCAGAGCTGAAATGTAGACCAGGAGTTCAGATTTTAAGCAAAAGTGAACCATGATTTATAGGCACCACAGGCAAACTAATGATTTCATCCTCAAGCAGGTTCACTTTACCCCACTTCAAAGCTGTGTCTTTTTTAGGTGTTTGTTCACCATCTATCTAGATGAGATGAGAAGAGAAGGTGAAGGCCTCACAGAGAAAGAATGGAGATGAGCATGACATTTTTTTTTCCCTCTCCTCCTAAGAGGTTCAGCTCAGGCCCTCAAATTGCAGATACCACCCATTGAACAGTGCATAGCCAGACCCTCCCTCCTCAGAAAGCAGTTTAGGGACTGTGGATTATTACTTGAGCTCAGCCCCACTCAAGCTTCTTATTACAGTGTTCACATTTCTAGTGATATTTTGTCTTCCCTTTGTTGCCTGAATTTCCCACAAAGGTTTGCAGCCCAGGCTGGCCTGCGCCTTCACCTGCCTCAAGTGCTAGGTGGGTGCTAGTCCTTAGTCAGTGGTCCTGCATCTTCACAGGTCAGGGCCATTCCACGCAGGGAGCAGAGCAGACCCATTGTATACCACCTCGTGTTCAGAGAGCCCAGACTTCTCTTTCAGGGGCAGAAGTGACTCGGAGCTCCTCAGGCATTCCCATCACCCCTTTGTTTGTAACTGCTGAGGTCATTATGCAACCAGATGCAGTGGTTACACTCTCAGTGAGAATTCTCAACATAACCTGTCAAAATGGCCTATTAGATGGTTGGCAGGCTGGGAAGAAGGAACTTGTACCATGTGGATTGTGAGATGAGATGTCTTTGCAGCCAGGGCCTTGTTCCAATGCCTCCCAAAGGCCCTGGGCACCTGCTAGGGTATGCCTTGAGAGGTGATGTGTGTACTATGTAGAGGGTGTTGCCTAACCAGAAATGCAGTAATCTAACACACACAACCACAGAAAAATGCTGTCAGAAGACCATACTCTGTTTTTAAATTGTGGCTATGTAAAGTGCATGCTTAGAATAGTAGTTCCTGGTGCTAACAAGACTGAGCTGTGTTGTATGACTTTTATGTTTGTCATTTCTCTTAATTGACAGGTAGCAGGGAAAGAGCTCATTCTACATTCTGGGTGTTGATGAGTATCCTTTTGGGAGCTGTGGCCATGCTGTGCAAAGAGCAAGGAATCACTGTGCTGGTAAGACCTGAGACATGATCAGGGCCCGCTCTAAACATATCATTTCCTCTCCTATAGAGACATATTGAGCTGGGCCTGCCTGTGTGACCTCCTCTATTGTACCCCATTGCTGTCCTACAGTTGTAGACATTTCTGGACCAACCACTCGCGCTCTCATAATCCTGGTGTTTCGTATGGGAATTGACTGCCTCAGTTGACTATCATTAGAAACTGATGGAAATGGAGATTGGGAAGTTTCTTTTTCTTTATCATTTTTATTTTTCAATTACAGTTGTCATACATTATTCCATCTGGCAACTGTCAAAGAGAACACAAAATATCTTTAAGTCTGTTTCTGTTCTGTTTGTTCATTAATTTCATTTTTTAGGTTCAATGTGTATTTATTGATATTTTATTGTTCATATCTTTATCTTTTCTTCTTCTTTCTTCTTCTTCCCTCTTGCTTCTTCTTCCAAAAAACCTTTTAACATTTCATATAATATTGTTTTGGTGGTGGTGAACTCCTTTAGCTTTTTTCTTATCTGGAAATCTCTTTATCTGTCTTTTGATTCTAAAAGATAGCTTTGCTGTGTAGAATAATCTTGGTTGTAGGTCCTTGCTTTTTATCATTTTGAATATTTCTTGACAATTCCTTCTGGCCTGCAGAGTTTCTTTTGAGAAATCAACTGGAAGTCTTATGAGAACTCCCTTGTAAGTAACTAACTGCTTTTTCTTACTGCTTTTAAGATTCTCTCTTTGTCTTTAACCTTTAGCATTTTAATTATGCTATGTCTTGGTGTGGGCCACTTTGGGTCCATCTTGTTTGGAACTCTCTCTGCTTCCCAGACTTGTATGTTTATTTTCTTCACCAAGTTAGGGAAGTTTTCTGTCATTTTTTCAAATAAGTTTTTTTTTCTTGTTTTTGTTTCGTTGTTGTTTTTCAGATATACTTTAAATTTCTTTCTTTTTTTCTCCTTCTTCTTACACTTCCATGTTGCAAATGTTGGTATGCTTGAAGTTTTCCCAGAGGCTCCTTACATATCTTTGGATTCTATTTTCTTTTTGCTGGTCTGATTAGGTGATTTTTGCTTCTTTATATTCCAAATCACTGATTTGATTTTTGGCTTCATCTACTACATGTTGATTCCCTGTAAGTTATTCTTCATTTCAGTTAATATATCCTTCATTTCTGACTGGTCCTTTTTTATGCTGTTATAGTTCCCACTGAGTTCATTGAACATCCTTATAACCAGTGTTTGAACTCTGCATCTAGTAGATTACTTGTCTCTGTTCTTTCATTTGGGACATGTTTCTTTTCTCCTCATTTTGGCAGTCTCCCTGTGTTTGTTTCTATATATTAGGTAGAGCTGCTATGTCTCCCTGGTTTGGCAGTGTGGCCTAATGTAGTAGGTGTCCTGTAGGGCCCAGTGGCACTATTTCCCAGATCACCCACACTGAGGTACATTGCTCCCCCACCCTGTGTGGGCTGTGTACATCCCCCTCCTGTAATTTAGTCTCAGTTGCTGTTGGCAGGTTAATGGGAGGGATTTACCCCCAGACTGATGAGCTGCAAGGGCTACCTTCGACCACCAACCACTGACCTCCAACCCCCACGAAGAATCATCTGTGCAGGGGCTGATCCCACAAAGCAGGAGTTACTTGAGTGGGGTTCTGGTATCCGCTGAGTCTGCCCCTTCAGTGTGTCATTTGTGGAGGTGGTTGGGCATTGATACTTTAACGTGGTCTAAAGCTGTCCACTGGGTACACTGGCCCTGGAGCCTTCAATAGGTGCAGGTCAAAGTCGGATGCTGCCTATGTTCTTTCTAGGGCCACCTACCATAAGCTACAGACTGGTCTGTAGATGGCTGCTACTTTTGCTGGACTTAGAGTTGCCCAGGCAAGGCCAAGCTACAAACCAAGGCTGGCTGCTGGTAGTGCTGGGCCTGGGGCCCCTTAGCAGGAGGTAGTTAAGGGGCGTGCTGAAGCCAGATGCTGCTTGTCTGAGAGATTTTATGAAAATCCGAAGCATGAACAGTGACAAACCATTTGTGTGGGAAAGTCACTGGAAACGGTTGGGTGGGCCTGAAAGTTAGGGGGCTGGGCCTCAGGGAATCACTGGGAGGTGGAGAGTGAATGGTGTTAGCCAGGTTGATGGGGTCTCAGATATGGCACCGTCTGCCTGCTCTATGTGGGGAGGGCTCACCAAAGAAACAAAGGCCTCTGCCAGCAGTTCTGAGAGTGGGAAGTTCTTAAAGAATAGCAATTATTTTTCTTGGAGAGGTCTTGTAGAAAAAGATGAAGGAATGGTTTGAGTTTTCTTGGATACTCTCATATTTTGGCAGTCCTAAATACAACAGTGAACTGACCCATTAATGGTTCTGGTCCTGATTAAACAAGTATTGACTGTATGTCATGTTATACTTGGCTTTGACTGGAAATGTGAAAGAGGAGAGGAGAGGGCCTCTGATGAGTAGAGGCACACACCTCCTATGTCTGATCTGGGCTGAAGCCCCAGGAAGGGAAAAGCATTGAAATCCTCTTTCAGGTTTCTCTCTTCTAGCCAGTTTTCTGCCTTACATTTTTAGAAGAAAATCTAGAAATTAAAGATGTGAGCAGAGGTAGAGAAATTGAAAACAAAGATGTGAGATGTGATGGCCCATGTAGGAATACCTTGGGAAGGAAAGGGCAGTCAGAGCCATTTAGGGTTTAACACACGTCAAGGTAAAGATCAGTGGTTTTATTGGTCTTGATTTATAATGTCAAGGTTAGCTAGCTAGAAGATGGTATAGAAAGAATTACTGTGCAAAGATACTTGAATTTCATGAGTTACTTTTAAAAAGTTTTCTCTGAACCAATATTACTCAACTTTGCTATTACTGACTTTAGGGCTGGATCTTTTTTTCTTATGGAGAGCTGTCATGTGCACTGTAGGATGTTAAGCAGCATCCCTGGCCTCCTTTTGCTAGATGCCAGTAGGACCCTCTTAGTTGTGACAACCCGAAATATTTCTGACAAAATCACCCTCTTGAGAAGCACTACTCTGAACTCTTGCTCATCAGCATTACCTGGGAACTTACTAAAATTTACTGTTTGAGACCCCACCCAGGGCTGCTGAATCAGAATCTTCCTTTAACAAGGTCCCAAGATAACTCCCATTAATGTGTAAAAAGCCCTAAGGAATTAGGTTGAATTTATGTGAAGAAAGATATAGTGAAATTTAACTGTTTTCAAAAATTTGATAAGAATATAGACATTTTGATGATGCATTTAAATGGAAAGGAGGAAGGAGGGTCCAACTTATGTTTGGCTCAGTCTTCATGATAGCTTGCTTCTGTCATCCCTTGATGATTGTCCTGTAGCTCACAGGCAGAAAATCAAACAGTGTAAATAGACAGTGGAAGTGGCAGTGGCAGCTCAATGGGGAGCATCTGCCTTCTAGAAAATAGTTTATACCCAGGCAGAAATGGTCTTTTGTGACCCACAAAAATCATGTATCACATGGGTGAATAAAATCAGGATTCCTTGAAATGATTAACCCAGCACTGGCCCGTTATTATTGGATAATTAATGGCTCCCAGCATTTCTGGGAGAAGGTTAAGTAGAAATGTCATCCTTGCTTTGAAAACCATGAATTACCACCAGCATCTGATGATTTATGATCTTCTTTGCCACAAAGCCCCATATGAAAAAAACCAAAGTACTTAGGGGAAGTGTTATCCAAATACACTGTGTATATTCTGACTACTGTATCCAGATTGGGCAGAGTTCTGCTAGATGACATTTTCTGCAGCAACAACATCTATGGAAAAAGTCCATTGCACAGTAGACAATAGAATTCAGGCCTCATCTAGCTTTCAGCCTATAATTATAGGTGTAATAGCTGCAAAAGCAGCCCTCACCTGCTAGAAGTAAACTGTCGTGGTGATATTAGAAGCTGTTAGGATAGGTGAAGCTTCAGTATCACACTCTCAAAGTCCAGTGGCATCATGGAATTGAAGTTGTTTATCATTCACCTAAGTACCGTGGACAGAGCTTCCCATGACAGAGGTGACTGTCCTCCATACACTTACCCAGGCTGGCAGAGCCTCTGCCATCTTCCGTGTATAGTTCCCCAAAGTCACCCTGGTCATCCCCATCATCTCCATCACAGCCAGCTCGAAGGGGATGCCAAGTGGCAGAGGGTGTCTAGGTTTGTAACCAAACTTCCAAAATGGGGACGCTCTCACTTCTACCCATGTTCCATAGGCTGGAACTCAGTCACATGACTATGTATAACTGCACGGGAAGCTGGGAAATGCACTCTGGCTGTATGCCCAGGCAGAACAGAAAGCTGGTGAACAATTAGGAACCTGAAGCTGAGATGAAGCTGAGAGATCTCCAATGGCCCATCAGAGACCATTGTATATGTTCTGCTCCTGTTTCTGCTACACTTGCCCAAGTCAGTCAGCACTTGAGATTCTTGAGGTATAATCACTTATATATGGCTGGGTTTTCAAGATTGATGGCTGCCTTTATCTTTTCAGGCATAACAAGTGCCCAGGTAACCATTCTGTTATGTCAACTAAGTGACTGTCTTATATCAAAGCAAAAAAGGGAAATAAAGTACCACTGAAAAGGTCCAAATTTCTAGTTAGGACTAAGAAGAATTTACTAGATAATAAAATTGGTATATATTACTCTGAGCTAATTTCATAGGAACAATTTTTTTTAAGAGCTGAAGAAGTCTTCCACAATTACCTAATTTACTACATCCCTTGTCTAGATTTAGTAATAAAATTGTACAATATAATTGCTGTCTAATCAGAATTAGGCTCTCTCATCGATTGCCTTGTTTGCTTCCATAGGGTTTAAATGCAGTCTTTGACATCTTGGTGATAGGCAAATTAAATGTTCTGGAAATTGTCCAGAAGGTACTACATAAGGACAAGTCATTAGAGGTAAGTATATACTTTTGTCTCCAGCCCCAACATAGAAAATGTCAAGTACCAGCTAATTTAAAATGCCATTTTCAAAGTATTTTTTACTATTTTGAATTCTAAAATACCCAGGCTTTTAAAAGCACAGTGTCAAACAGTTCAGATAGAATTGCTGCACATTTGTACCTGACTTACCCACATTTTTATTTGAAAACCTGTGACATCAGGGGCTTTGTGGTATGTTTTCAGAACATTGGCGTGCTCAGAAATGGGGGCCTCCTTTTCAGAATGACCCTCGTGGCCTTGGGGGGAGCAGGGGTGCTCTATATGCGCTGGAAAATCATGGGCACCGGGCCGCCACCATTCACCGAGGTGGACAACCCTGCCTCTTTTGCCGACAGCATGTTGGTCAGGGTGAGTTCTGCGTCTGTCTGCAAAATTCCCAGGTCCTTTTTCCCTCCTCATCTCACTCTCAGAACACCCACTAAATCCCTAATAAATGGAAACGTCTGTGTTTGTTTGCAATCAGGAAGTATATTTTAGGATGAAACCAGGCTATTGTTAGGGGATTGAGCAAATAGAAGTCTCTCGTATTTCCATTCTAATCAAAATTAAGGGAGTTCCTTCTAATGTCAGATTTCTTGCCAGCCTCATTAGTGTCTCCTAACCCCATGACATTTGTTTTAAAGGAAATAAATTAGCATGGCAGGATTAAGATAAAATATAGCAGTATCAGTGGTGGTCTGTAAAAGTCTAATGGTGTCAAGACTCTCCTGCAAAGGTTTGCCTTTTCTGAAGGCAAGGGTGTCAGTTCTTAGCAGTGCATTTCATAGAGACAGAAATCAAGAGAACCAAGGTAATCCTATTCTTATATTGTTAAGCATATAGGTGACCTCTCGGCCTCAGATTTCCTGGGTCACAGACTTTGGGCATCAGTAAGTAAATCAACATAATTTGCCCAGAAATATAACTGTATAGCAGAGTCTGGTGTCTGTGCTGCATTTTCCTCATTTAAAATCTGAATGCATTTAATAAATTGCAAATTATAGCCACATGTTCAATGTAGAAAGTGTCAACATTTTATTTTATACAACTGCTCTCCTTGAACAGAAGCATACAGATGCCATAGAAGTGAAGTTAGGATATATACATATTCAAGTTTAGCATTAAATAAATGTTTGTTTTCCTTTTGACTGACAGGCCATAAACTATAATTACTACTATTCATTGAATGCCTGGCTGCTGCTGTGCCCCTGGTGGCTGTGCTTTGATTGGTCGATGGGCTGCATCCCCCTCATTAAGTCAGTTGGTGACTGGAGGGTAATTGCACCAGCCGCACTCTGGTTCTGCCTAATTGGCCTAATATGCCAAGCCCTGTGCTCTGAAGACAGTCACAAGAGAAGGTAAGAGACAGTGTTGAGTTTTAACTTCCACACTGGGTTGAGTCAGAAGCATTTTGCTAAATCCAGCACTGATCATTTTAACAATTTTGTGGAAGTAATGTCTAGGGACATTTATTTCTAATACATATTTATGACTAGGATGAGTTCATCCATTTGGAATCTTATCGCTGGTTTCAACTAGTGGAGTGAACTTGAAGGAGGAGGGTATGGCTTTATATCTCCCTCCTCCTTTCCTCTGAAGTAGCATTTTGAGATCCTTTTCTCAGTAGGTGATAAAGAGTAATTTATGGTCAGAACAGAAAGTGTAACTGATGTGTGTTGTGCCCATTATTTCACAATTCTCCTTCAGAAAACCCTGGTACATGCTATAGTGATTCCTTCTGTTATCGTTTGGTACAAAATAAACTGCTGCCCCAAAGAGACTATTCTTTCTTACCAAAAAGAGGGGAACAAGGTTATTGAGAAACAAATTGGAGGAAAAAACAAATGTTTCATGAGAAAGAAAACTACTTAAGATGATTTCCTTTACACATAAGTGTTTATGGAATTAGATGAGTAATTTCTCAAAATAAATTAAGTTTCAAGTTTACCTGTGTTTTAAATTTGTTTGGAATTCTAAAGGACAACAAATTTTTGTCCCAGTTCATTTACACATGTGCAATTACATTTTGTTTTTAAAATACTGTAGGCACAGGGTCTAGGAAGGAGGCACCACACTTCACCTGGTTTCCCAATTCATTCTCTTACATTACATGAGACATTAGAAATGATAACCTAGTTCCAGAAGTGTTTCATTGCTCAGCTTTCTTCTACTTCATAACCCCCAAATGATATTAGTTTATTTCAGATTTTGCAAAGTTTAAACTAGTTAAGTATTATTATACCTGTTAAGTTTGTGGATTCTTTTTTCCCCATGAAAACTATATTAGACTAATTGGGACCAGTATCCACTGAGCTATTCAATACCTATATGGTTTGAGGTGAGTTAGGAGTAGATAAATTAATAAAGCTTCACAAATGTAGTCATTCTAACCTTACAATATGAATTGTGTGACTTGGGAATTTTATCCTTATGTCTGATGCTAAGTGACTCAGTAAGATTTTTATGTCTTATCTTACAACTACCAGACTAAACCCTTTCTACTGATAACAAGTTTTGCTGCTGCTGATACCTGTTCTCAATTGATCTCATGGAAAATAAAAAGGCATTTATTATTATTTTAATGTTGAGTAGTATATTTTTCCTGAAAAGTCTAAAAACAGCCATATAAAGTATTGTACTTCTCATTTTCCAGGATCCTTACATTGGCGTTGGGATTCCTAATTATCCCATTTCTTCCTGCAAGTAACCTATTCTTCCGAGTGGGCTTCGTAGTGGCAGAAAGAGTTCTTTACCTCCCCAGCGCTGGGTACTGCATGCTGCTGACTTTTGGATTTGGCACTTTCAGTAAACACACTAAGAAAAAGGTACTGGCCAAGAGTGGTGACATTCATAACCCAGGTGGTTGGACAGATTTTCCTCATGACGTTTACCATGTCTCTCTATCCTTAAGAAACTAATCACTACTCTCGTACTGGGAATTTTGTTCATAAACACGCTGAGATGCATGATTCGCAGCGGCGAGTGGAGGAATGAAGAGCAGCTTTTTCGAAGTGCCCTGTCTGTGTGTCCTCTCAATGCTAAGGTGTGTTGGCTGCCATGTTTCTTTAGAAAGACATTATTAGGAAATGTTTTAAGTTTCACAGCTGACTAGGAAGAATGTTTGCCTTCATACAGGAATCTAGCATAAGATTTGGGTTTTTCTTTCTTGTTATTTTGATAAAATTTATTAAAATTCCACTTAGCCAAAATAATTAAAAGAAATTATTAAAACCAGACAATGTCAGTGAAATGAGAGATTACTTAAATGAGGTTTTTACTCATCCAGTTGGTCCAATCACCCTTTGAAGTGGTGTCAGGGGTCCTAACACCATACATCCAGCCTGGAGCCTGAAGGGGCCCACAGTTGAAACGTTCAGAGCACACTTTTCAAAATACATGCTTTGACCATAGCATTAACTAGCTTCCAAGCCATAATCTGAAGATGGACAATAATTTGGTTCAGGAAGTTTAAATCATTCTGTGTGGTGATAAATGTGAAATACACGTTTATATCACCTGTGGTTTCTCTGCTTGTGCCCCCTTTTGTTAGATTAGGTAAAAATAAATGTATAGACTTTAAAAGTGGCAGTGTTTTTGTTGAAACAATCTGGTAGGTATTTTTTCACTTGGATTCTTCATGAATCTGAGCCCTCAGCTTAACCAGCTCTGTCTCTTTGGGTGAAACCAAACATTTTTGAATATCCGGTGCCCTTATCTACAAAGGGGGTCAGTAATGCCTATCTCCTGGGTTTGCGTTGAGGCGCTAATGAAATATTGCATCTGAAGTGGCCTAATATGGTAGTTAGAACATAGTAGGTGTTCAAGAAATATTAGCTTTCTTAGGTTGATTTTACTTTCGGTTGTCATATTAAATGATAGGAAGGGAATGTTACTTGTTTAAAATGGGATACCAAGGAGTTAGGGTAGAAGAATTTCTGTTTATATAGACCATTATTATTACTAAGTCATGATTCATTCTCTCTTGGGTCATCAAAATTGGAGCTTCTTAGGATGCTCCAAATGAGATCCTCAAGAGGTAAAAAAAGAGCTCTCTGGAGTTCTATCTCATTTTTACATTCTACATTTAACAAAAAGCAATGATTTCAGGTAAAATTGTATGAACAGATAGTTGATATCTTATTGTGACCTTGAAGTGAAGGATAGTATAAAAGATCCTGACTCCTTGTTTGTTTTTTTCTTAGATTAAAAACCTTGTTCATGTTTTATAGTTAGGAGATTTAGGCAAAAGAGTGAATTACTTCAAACTTTTATTGTTCATTTGATTTTCTGGCCTATCCATTTATTTTATGCTACTAAAAATAAATTGCCTATAATTTAATTTTGTAAATGTTAATAGATTTGCTTTATTTTTACTTTTGTGTTTCAATAGCAGTACTTTCCCCTTCTATTTATACAGTTCTTCCATATGAAGAACTGAGATTTTTTTATAGTGGCTCTATAATTAATCTCCATTATCTTCCTGCTCAGGTTTTAGAGAGAGATATATATAGGTTTTTGATTTTGTTTTTCCAAATGGGAGAAACTGAGGCATAGAAAGATGGAACTGATGTTGTTTAGTTTAGTAATCTAGGGGCTAGATAGAGATCTGGTATGGCACAGTGCCCAGGTTACTCCAGTAACTGGTGGAGGAGGAGATGGGACATATGTGATTTTAAGCCTGTCTGTTTCTCCTAATAACATGACTTCATGTATTGTAGGCTAGAAAACACAGGGTGTACACATATGGGTACACACACAGTTATTATGTGTCAGTGTGTGTAGTTTTCTTTCTTTAATTTAAAACATATGTCCTTAAAAGACCTTATCTTCAAAATGGTCTTTTCTTTTTTTTTTTTTAAGTATACTTTATTATGTTATTATATTTGTCCCAGTTTTTCCCCTTTTGGTTCCCTCTGCCTGGTACCCCCCTTCCCTTCAGCAGCCCCCCCTCTCAGTTCATCTCCATGAGCTGTGCATATAAGCTCCTTGGCTTCTCCGTTTCCTCTACTATTCTTCACATCCTCCTGTCTATTTTGTACCTCCCAATTATGCTTTCTTATCCATGCACCTTTTCCCCCATTCTCCCCCTCCCAGATGATGATCCTCCAAATGATCTCCATACATATCATTCTGTTCCTGTTCTGGTCGTTTGCTTAGTTTTTTGTTTATTTTCTTTTCTTAAGGTTCAGTTGCTGATAGTTGTAAATTTGTTGCCATTTTAATGTTCATAGTTTTGATCTTCTTTTTCTTAAATAAGTTCCTTTAACATTTCATCTAATAATGGCTTGGTGATGATGAACTCCTTTAGCTTTACCTTGTCTGGGAAGCATTTTATCTGTCCTGCCATTCTAAATGATAGTTTTGCTAGGTAGAGTAATCTATGTTGTAGGTCCTTGCTTTTCATCACTTTGAATACATCTTGCCAGTCCCTTCTTGCCTGCAAAGTTTCTTTTCAGAAATCAGCTAATAGTCTTATGGGTACTCCTTTGAAAGTAACTCTCTGCTTTTCTCTTGTTGCTTTTAAGATTCTCTCTTTATGTTTAACATTTTGCATTTTAATTTATGATATGACTTGGTGTGGTCCTTTTTGGGTCCAACAAACTTGTTTGGGACTCTGTGCTTTCTGGACTTGTATGTCTCTTCCATTGCCAAATTAGGGAAGTTTTCCTTCATTATTTTTTCAAATAAGTTTTCGATTTTTCGCTCTTCCTCTTCTCCATCTGGCATCCCTATGATTCGGATGTTGGCACATTTGGAGATGTCCCAGAGTTGTCTTATACTATCCTCGGTTTTCTGAATTCTTGTTTCTTTGTTTCTTCTTTTTTTTTAAATTTACTCTTGTTCAATTATAGTGGTCCCACCTTTCTCCCCACTGCTTAGGTGTACACTGCCCCCACACACTCACACAAACAATCCACCCCATTGTCCATGTCCATGAGTCCTCTATTCATGTTTCTTTGCTTGTCTCTTCCCCCTCTTTTCCCCACATCTCCCTCAGTCCTCCCCTCTAGTCACTGTCTGTTTGTTCTTTGTTTCCAAGTATCTGGTTCTATTTTGTTCATTTGTTTGTTTTGTTGATTAGGCTCCACTTACAGGTGAGAGCATATGGTATTTTTCTTTCACCACCTGGCTTATTTCACTTAGCATAATGCTCCCCAGTTCCATTCATGCTCTACGAAGTGTAGGAGTTCCTTCTTTCTTTCTATAGGGCAGAATTCCGTTGTGTAAATGTACCACAGTTTTTTGACCAACTCATTTACTCACTTAGGCTGTTTCCAACACTTGGCTATTGTAAATAGTGCTGCTATGAACACTGGGGTGCATAGGTTCTTTTGAATTGGTGACTCAGTATTCATAAGGTATAGTACAAGCAGTAAGATCACTGGATCAAAAGGCAGTTCCATCTTTAGTTTTTTGAGGAAATTCCATATTTTTTTCCACAGTGGCTACACCAGTCTACATTCCCACAAACTGCACTAGGGTTCCCTTTTCTCCACAACCTTTCCAGCACTTGTTTATTGATTTATTAATGATGGCCATTCTGACCAGTGTAAAGTGGTATCTCATTGTGGTTTTAATTTACTATCTAATGGCTAGTGATGTTGAGCATTTTTTCATGTACCTATGGGACATCTGTATGTCCTCCTTGGAGAAGTATCTGTTCAGGTCCTTTGTTCATTTTTTAATTGGATTGCTTGTCTTCCTGGTGTGGAGTCCTGTGAATTCTTTATATATTTTGGAGATCAAACCCTTGTCTGAGGTAATACTGGCAAATATATTTTCCCATACGGTTGGTTCCCTTTGCATTTTGTTGATGTTTGTTAGCTGGGCAGAAGCTTTTTAATTTGATGAAGTCCCATCTGTTTATTCTTTCCTTTATATCCCTTGCTCTAGGGGGTGTATTGGTGAAAAAATTTCTGTGTGGTATATGTGAAATTTTCCTGCCTATGTTTTTCTCTAGGACTTTTGTGGTATCACACCTTACATTTAAGTCTGTTATCTGTCTTGAGTTTATTTTTAAATACGTGTAAGTTGGTGGTCCAAGTTTCATTTTTTTGCATGTATATGCCCAGATCTCCCAACACCATTTGTTGAAGAGGCCATTTTTACTCCATTTTATGTTCCTATTCCCTTTATCAAATATGAACTGATCATACTAGCATGGGTTTATTTCTGGGCACTATTCTGTTCCATTCATTTGTCTGTTTTTATGCCAGTACCAGGCTGTTTTGATTACACTGGTCTTGTAATATAGTTTGATATCAGGTATTGTGATCCCTCCTACTTTGTTCTTCTTTCTCAAAATTGCTGAGGCTATCACGGTCATTTATGGTTCCATATAAATTTGGGGTGAACTTCTGTGGTAGGTATTCTATGGGACTCAGTGGTGCAGCCTCTTTGATCTCCTTGTCTGGATGCTCTAGGGTTGCCTTTCTTCTGTTTGTGTGGGCTCTCTTCTTGTACTTCAGTTTTACTTGTTGGTGGCTTCTTTGTTGGTGGGTTCTCCCCTCCAGTGGGCCTACTGGTAGTCAAAACTCCCACCTTGTCTTGTATGCTGTTGTACAGATGTTCATTAACAAAGCATTGTTACCAGACAACCAATCCTACACCAGCAAAAAGAACCCCCACTAACACATCAGCAATCTCATCCACAATTGAGCAAAGATTAATAAAGGTGAAAAGAGATTACGTATATTATAAGCCATGACAAAGGGACTATGAGATGACTAAAAGAGGAGAAAATGTTATTGAGTGGTATGAGGAAGACTTGATAAGAGTGGGTACAGAACTGGTGCGAAGAAAGGGAAAGAACAAAATTTAAAACATAAGTGCAAAAAGGTGATGGGGTAAGAAAGGGGAAGTATATACTATGAAGTTTAAACTAAAGTTGAAAAGGTTTTAGACCAACGGATCAAAATTGCAGGAAACCCACAGCAGGGTCCATAGTGATGACAGCTGACTGAAGTTAATAAAGGTGGAGTGGGGATAAGAATATCGTATAGAAGCAAAAAGTGAATACAAGATGTCTACCATAAAGAAAAA